TTTATTATACTAAAACTAAAGTAGATTAAAATTATAATAATTAAAATTATTTTTTAAATTCATATAACTTCTTAAATGTTCATCCTAAATATTAACTATTTTATATTAATTTGTAGCTCATGTTACGATTTACAACTTTACTTAGAACATTAACTAACAATTACTTGAACTCGAACCAAACTTTTGGTCAGGTTCAAGATTTGAACTGAACTCAAACCAGACTTTTAATTAGGTTCGAATTTTCGAACTGGACTTTTCGTCAGGTTTGAGTTCGATTCAAGTTTGAACTGAACCAGACTTTTTTTCAGAACCCTAACAGCTTGTGCTTGAATAATATTTATAAAATTTGTTAATTTGATTACCAATTGATTACATTGTAATACATTCATAATTAGTTCTGGTAATTCTTTTTTACATATAAAAATATTTAAAAATGGCTAATAGTGATTGTATTTATAGCAAATTTTAAATAAGAAAAATATAATTGATAATAGTGAATGGTTAATAATAATAAATTAATAAGAATGTAGATATAAAATGAATATTAAATATATTTAAATGATAATAAAATGATACTAAAACTAAATATATATTATAATTAAAATTAGAAATATATTATAAAAAACAAAAATAATATAACAATAATTGAAATAAAACAAAATAAAGAAAAAATAAAAGAAAAATAATGGAAAAATAATAGAAATAATAAAAAACAAGAAAATAAAACAAACAAAAAAAAACAAACAAAAAGGAACAAGACAAAACAAAGTTAAAACTAGAATATAATCTTCTTAGTTTATTTCAAGTCAATCTCACATTATATATATAGTGAATTTAAGTTATACTAATTTACATATTATAAATTACAAAGAAAATTAATAAAAAATTATTTTATTTTTCTTTTATTTTTTTATTTTCTTGTTTATTTTTTTGTTTACTTTATTTTTGTTTTGTTTATTTTGTTGTTTACATTATTTTTGTTGTTTTTCTTATATTTTATTTTGTTTTATTTTTGTTTTGTTTTTGTTTTATTTTATTATTTTTTTATTTTTTTATTTATTATAATATACTTTTATCTTTAACTTATAACATATATTTTATTTTAATTTTTATTATCATTTATATTTCTTCTATTAAAAGCTGCTATAAATATAATTGCTATTTATTATTTTTAAATATTATTATTAGAAATAATAACACTAAATAAAATTATATGTGTGATATCATAATTTTTATTATAAAATAATAACAATATTTGATAATATAATATTTTTATAAGTTATTTTCATTTTATAAAAAGAATAAATACATTTGTAACAATTATTATTTGTAATAATCACATTTTTATTGATTAAAATCAGAATTAAAATTCTAAATATATAATTGATCAATATTAAAATTGTTAAATATAATAATTATTGTGAAAGATGATAAAAAACGAATTATGGTGAAATTTGCAATATTTATTATAATAAACTATGAATAACAATTATATTCATAAATTTACATAGTATTTAGCAATATAAATATTATTGCAAAATTAATTTAAGTTATATATTTTATGCATTTATCATTATTTTCAAAATATTGTTCTTTAATTATCGATAATTCTGGTCAAATGATCTCATGATCTGCACAATTTTGGCCAAAATTTTCACCATAATCCGTTTTTCATCATGATCCCCCACAATTATTATCAATTATAATTATATAATAACTTTCAAAATTATAAAATCATAATAATTTCAAAGCAATTAATAATAGAACTTGAATATGAAATATTTGAATCTAATATTAAAATCTATAAAATATTTTATTGTTGTGAGTTTTGTAAAATCGAGTAATCTTTCAATTGGTAAATTTGATTTATTAAAATTTTTAATCAAAACGAAATCTTTATATACCAAAGTTCATCTAAATTAGTATCAAATTTATTGAGATATTAAGGTTTGAAGTTCAATTAATTGTATTATTTTCTAATTGAATTTAGAATTTTGAGGTCTAATATCTCAGCGAATTTGATGCTAATTTAAATGAAATTTGGAATATTAATCAATAGTGATATTTTTTGTCTTGATTAAAAAAATTTTCAGATCAAAAATTCTACAGGTTTTTAACTTTCAAACAAGTATAGAATGCTGTATGGCCCCGGGAAGAGGTGTGAATTCTCCGAAAATCTTTACCAGCAATTTGAATTGCTGGAATTCCAAATTGGTTGCTAGCTGGTCTGCATGTTGCACTAACAAAACTAATCCGCCTCTTTCCTAGAAGTTCTTCTCAATTCATTACAATTATCGCATAGATCCTTTTTGCCAATTCAATTTTTTGTTTCGACAATTAGTTCAACTGTTTTCATTCTATAAGTGTACTGTAGAATTAATTATTTTTCGAGATCAGGTTCATTAATGGATGGGGAAATGACAACTTCATGTCATCATCTGTTCTTTTTTGTTTGCCGCAGATAATGCGTGAACACTCGACATATAACAGCTCGAGAACCTTTTCTGCATGCCATAACGTCGGGCTTCTTTCCCATCCGTTCTTCATTCACTCCAAGACTTCTTCGAGCCTTACTCTGGCGTTATGCCCTGTATTTAATGAAAAAATGCATGGGTATAAATCTTTTACGCGAATAATATTTGTCAGTTTACGTGCTCAGGCATTTGGCAGATCCACGCTCAAAGAAAAGGAACTACAATATCCGTGACAATTGTTCTTTCACTCTGCTCTTTGCAAGGATTGTTCCATATCTTACCATATAAATTGAGAAAGTTATCCTATAAATAATTAGACAAAGAATAAATAATTCACAATGAAACTACTTGCAGTACCTAGAATGTGTTCTGCGATTTTTACTCTCAGTTTCCATGTTTTATTGTGGAAAATATTTCAAGTTATCTTCCAACCGAATTAGGGAAAACCCGCTTTATATTTATCGTTATGACATAATCGGGAATAACGAATATCGATATGTCGTAATATTGCATAAATATAAACTATTTCATCATGGTAACCGGGGTCTTATTAACGGGAGTGGACTACTAATCATTCTTGCCATAAAAACACCTTTGTCTATTTCACTTATTGCTGAGAACTATGCTTGTATCTGGAATTCGCCATGTAAGCCTTGAAGAATCCATCTTATCTTCCATTATCTTGAAGGCTTTATAGAGGCACGTTTTTGCCTAATTTGTTATGTCACAATCTTTTTGTAGATTATTTAATTCAAAAATGCGCGCGTACTATTACAACGAGGAAGACAATTCCGACCCACGAGAACCACACGAATTTAGCCCTTCTTCTCCTGTGACTCCAGAAGAATTAGCACAACTTGGCGTGGTTTATTGTCGTATAGAAATTGAAAACTATGAAAATGAGATTAATAGAATTGCTAAGGAACGGGATTATAAGAATCGGGATGTTGTATGTGTTGAAGTTTTTCCGTTTATTGGGGGGGGGGGGGTTACTCGGAGCATTCCTTATTATACGTATATGATGAGGAAAAATACTTGATGGCTGTTTTTCTATAGATTAATTGTTCGAAGGAAGGTCTTGGGGAATTGTATGAAAGCAAGCTAAAGACTTTTTTTGAAGAGTGAGTATAATTACTATTTTATTTTATGTAATGTCATGTGTCGTTAATAAATTTTATTATCATACATACATATATTATTAAATAAGACATCTTCATGAAGACGAAGAAATTCGATTCATTCTTGATGGAAGTGGATATTTTGATGTTCGAGGTACCTTTTATGTTTTGATGATTGACATTTTTCATTTTCTCATCACAATATTGAATGAATGAATGAATGAATGAATTAATCAATCGTGAATAAATGGATATATACAAGATCAAAGAGATCGCTGGATTCGCATTGTTGTTGTTCCTGGAGACTTGATCGTTTTGGTATTTTAATATTATATGATTTTGGCTTTGTTTTTTATAAATGCACGAGAAATTTGAAATATTTCGAAAATGTTTATTAGCCTGCGGGAATATATCATCGTTTTACCCTCGACAATAATAATTTCATCAAGGCTTTACGTAAGTTTGCATCACGATAGTATGTCTGAATTCTTGATTGACAAAATCAATGAAACACCTTTTTTTTTGTGAAAAAATATAGGTCTTTTCAAAGAAGAACCGAAATGGACACCGATAAATCGTAAGAAAAAATTACCAGATCTAAATTTGTTTATTATTTAAAATTTTTGTTACAATCTATTGACGTTTGATATCTTCTATTAAATAGGCCCAGCCGACAATAATCCTTTCCGAATTCAATACCTAAAGTCAATTGCGTTACCATAATCTATTTAATGCTTTTTGTCGCATTTAATTATCTATTTAATGCTTTTTGTCGCATTTAATTATCTATTTCATAGCTTATTACCTTTTTATTAAATAGAGACTTTCTTATTCTATTTGATGAATAAATAGGAAAAAAAAACAAATTAATTATCATCATAAATAAAACGATTGAAATTTTTATTTGAATATGTTAGTCCCGTATCTGTCCATAGTCGTCACAACTTTAACGCCAGGTCTACAGAAGACTTATTTAATCTATGGTTCATAATTAACATGCGAGAGTGTATTGTTTTGTCAGGAAACATCTCATCACACGTGATTTTTTGTCTAACTTTTTCGATGAACCAATGAAATTGATAAAATTCAACCGACACTCCACCCGATAATTGATCTTTATTTTTAATAATCGAATTACACAGCCACAAAATAAGATTTTTTAAAAAGATAGATAGCAATTATTGACGTTCACCTGCTTTAAATAAATACCTATTATATTATCATCCTCATCATCGTATCGTAGCATAAAACTCAAATTCGGGTGTTGAGAATGGAATTTCGTCATCTGAATCGTCATCAGGAAATATAGGTCTACAGTTATATAAATTAAATAATTTTGATGATTAGATTGTTACAGATACTAATGATAAAATATAAATTAATAAAACTCACAATTTTGGAGCAAACACTTTGACCTGTCGAATATGAGTATCTTTACCATTCTGATGATTTGATTTTATCATTACTTGGAAAAGATATGCACCGACTGGTCGACTTCTTCGACTATTTGTTTAAATAGTTTTATAATAGTAGAAAAATGAGATTCTTTGATACTGATGGTAGATAATTATTATGATAAAGTGCACCTTAATAATAAATCACCGCTAAGTTGAATATCCACCCAATTAGAAGGTTCCGATAGTTCAACAGTGCGAAGATCCTGTTGTCAATCGGATGGATCAAAAATTTGAAAAAAGACTTGTAGTACTGATCTTGGAAGACGAAGGATCTTGGAAAGAAAATTATAATAATACCTGCAGGTCGCTAAATGTAGTTCCAGCCTTGATGGTAATTTTATTTGGTGTATAACTTTCATCGTTTTTGTAATCGACATATAAAGAAATTTGCTTATTGATTCGAAAATGTAAAGGTTAATAATTCATAGCAAGAAAAGAACGAACTAATCGTTTTACTTGAATTATAAAGAAATCCAATCGCTTACATACAGTCACATAGACTTTCTTGGGAAATTGAATATTGATAAGATGTGGTTGAGTACCATCTGATCTATAATAAAAATTTTCGAACATTAAAACGCGTATGATTTTTATTATATTTTTTTAAAAATAGAGAAGAAATAACATACTGCCAGTAAGTCATATTATTTTCGTCACGCAAGTTCTCTACACCATTACCTGGTTTCCAACTCGATAGTGACCAAGTAGCCATTGAGCCAATTTCTCGCAACTCTAGTTGAATGTAATTCTCATTTAGACCCGCCATTTAGACCAATGTTCACAGAGTGAATTCAAAATACCTTCATGCTTAAAGGGACTTTTTATCATTTTTCTTTCTCTTCGTGTAGAGAACTCACTATCTTCATCACCTTCGTCAGGGCCACCTCCGTTATTCATGGTTTGTAGTACTTAAATTTATGAATTATTAACGTTAATATCAAGTAAATTAGTAAATTTTGGATTTTTTCATAACCAATGGGGATCAATTTTGGCACGTGCGGAGTGTCGCACGTGCACATGGAAAGAACTTCCAGACTTTGAATCTTCTAAACCAAATAAATTGCACAATTGCTTGGCTCTCCAGTGTTAAGAAGTATGATATTGGCCGTCGTATTTGAGACATACATTTCTAACTGATTTCATTGTTCCATTCATTGCAAATATGCACGGGATTCTTGGATTATGACACAAAACTAGAAATTTATTATTAGTTGGCACCGACTCTGGTATGCGTTATTGAATGAGTATATCAGATTCTGAAGGGTAAATTTACGGACGTAGAAATGAAAACTTTTGAATCGATTAAAAAATGTGCTTTTCGAAATTGCATCACTAAAATGTATTTTCTGGTTTTTGAAGACAAGCAAAACAATCGCTGTATAATCAAAAGTTACAATGACAGATAACTCATTGGTAACTGAAAAAGATGAATTACTAGTCAACGGAAAAAAGTAAAGTATCAAGAACATATTGTTAAAGTACTTGGAAGAAAACTGTCACGGAACATAGAGAACCAAATCACCTTGCCACAAAAAAATTGCTGAACAATCGGCAAAAAACCTAACGAAAGAAATTAGAGCATCAGAAAAAACGTCATTTATGAGATGGAAACTAGCATAGGCCGCAGAGTTGTCAATTTTTGTTTCCAGTTGGTTTTTATAGCAACTGGAAAGTTCAATTTGATATTAATTTTGCTTCCAATGACCTTCCGAGTTCTCCCATTGAGCATAGGAGTTACAACAGAATAAGGTAAAGACGGTTGTTGTAGACTAATTGTATTTTACAAGCTAAAATACACGTTCCTTTAACCATTAAGGAAATCTCAAACTGTTGCTGCTTTGTATAATTAAATCTGTTTATATATAGGCTTTGATTAATAAACTTTCCTAATTGTAACGAGGCAGCCATAAAATTGCGAAATACTGAAATCGTGGAAAAAATCACCAACTCCAAGTCAAAAAAGATAGAATTATGTTTTATGTCTCTTATTTATAAGTGTTATTTCTTTGATCTTCAAGCAAATAAACCAAAATTAATCGAAAGCTAATTTTCCGTCTCTATTATCGTCATCTTCAGCCTTGAAATATCAAATAAGCTACTAATAATTGATTTTACTTTTTTGGGTCGAACAAAACACGTATTGAACTTATCTGGAACCCAAACACTAGAATCATACAATTAACGAACTCGCTTTTGGCATATTCGAGTCATAAATTTATCAAGCATTTGATGATGCATTATTAACGTTAATGTATTGCAAAGCGACGCAATGGTTTTTTTCATAATTTATTTGACAATAATTTATCAAGCCAAATAATCTCGATCATATTAAACCTAATTTTTTTCTTACGTAAATATCATCGTCAATAAATTCTCTCATTCTTCCAATTTCACTTCTTTACTTCTCTTCTTCTTTTATCTTAAATTCCTCAACAAAAAAGAGACTTACAAAAATGACGGAAATTATCGATAATGTACCTGATCAAGAAGATAACCACGAAGAAGAGGAAGAAGTAAACAAATATAAACTTTTCCTGTTTTTATAAAAAATATATAAAATATCTTTAAACCTTTTATTTTCTTTTCTTTCGTTTATATTTAATAAACATAAAAGGAACTCTTCTATACTGAAATCGACGAGCTTCAAAACCATGGAATTAGTGCTGCAGACATTACCAAGCTTAAAAGTGCTGGTATTTGCACTGTGAAGGTACTTCTGTCAATCTATCCGTATTTTTATTAATAATTTACTTGTTTGTTAGCTGATTGCTATTTCGTCAATAACATCTTTGGTATTACTTGTCGAATTCAGGCAATCCAAATGAACACGCGTAAGAATCTCTGCAAGATTAAAGGATTGTCCGAAGCAAAGATCGATAAAGTCAAAGAGTCTGCTTCGAAACTTCAGGTCTTTATATTTTACTAATTTTTTATTTAATTATTTTTTCAATATATTAGAAAAACTAGAATTGACATATATCATTACTATATATAATAGACCTCTTCCTTTATCACGGGAACTGAATTCTCCTTTATTAGGTCCAAAGTGTTGTGGATTTCCACTGGAAGCAAACAACTCGATGCTCTCTTAGGCGGTAAAAAATATTTAGCTATTCTATTATTATGATGTAAATATAATCACTATATAATATTAAACTAAAAATAACATGTTATGAAGGTGGAATTCCTACAATGTCCATTACCGAAGCATTCGGTGAATTCAGAACTGGAAAGACACAAATCGCTCATACGCTCTGTGTCACTACGCAGCTTCCACCTTCTATGGGAGGAGCGAATGGAAAGGTAACTAATATTTTTTTTCCTTCTTTTATAAATCTTAATGTTATTTAAATTTTTATAAACATTAATGTTTTTTAAATTTAAATTTAAACTCTATTTTTTATGATAAGGTTGCTTTTATCGATACAGAAGGTAAATAGATAATCGGAATTTATCCACTTTGCTTCGCTCTAATAGAAGATAATTACTTTAACAATTGAATTGAATTTGTTTAGGAACTTTTCGCCCAGAGAGAATCAAGTCCATTGCCGCACGATTTGGCATTGACCAACAAGCAGCTCTTGAGAATGTTCTTTTCGCGCGTGCATACACATCTGAGCATCAAATGGAACTCATAATCGAGGTAGCTGCCAGATTTGCAGAAGAAAGAGGAATTTATCGATTGTTGGTAAGCAGAGATATAGAGAAAAGAGAATTCTATGTCTTGTATATCATTACTTTTCAATCACTCGTTCTTTCACTTATTAATCTTTTATTTAAATAGATTATTGATTCGATCATCAATCTATTTCGAAGCGATTATTCGGGTCGTGGAGAATTAGCTGAACGGCAACAAAAACTCAATATCATGTTGAGTAGATTGGTGAAAATCGCCGAAGAATTTAATGTCGCTGTTTATATTTCTAACCAGGCACTTACTATTAATTAAAAATAATGCCAAAATATCGTGTATATTTTATTAATTTCTCTTTGATTACAATGTTATTGATGGTTTTGATAATAGGTTCAATCTGATCCCGGAGCTTCCATGACATTTGTCAGTGAGCCTCGAAAACCAATTGGTGGGCATGTTCTCGCCCATGCGTATGTTGTTTATATGTCATGTGTGTATGGTTAATTATGAATCAAATACATATGTTAAGAAACAAACCACTTCATTTATTATAGCTCGACTACGCGAATATATCTCCGGAAAGGACGTGGAGAAGAGCGTATTGCCAAAATTTACGATTCTCCGGATATGCCCGAGGCTGAAGCGCGTAAGTCATTTTTTGCATTCTAAAGTTAAACGTTTATATGTACGAATACTATAATCGTATTTGCTCTTTTTTATGATATTATAATAATTAGCTTATGCGATAAGTGGAGGTGGAATTGTTGACTGCTCTGGATAAGATTGAAATGAAAAGCATCATTATTTATCAAAGGAGATTAGTTATACTATGTATTTTTAAATTTGTTTTTTTTACTTGGATTAGTGTATTATTATTAATTAACACAGAGTTCTTTTTATAGTTTAATAATATTTCTTTGTATTTTCTCTAACTCGTTGGGAAGTTTGCTTATCAACTAGGTTCCATTTAGCATAACGATAATAATTGTTTTAGCTGAATTTATCGTTAATCTTTGTACTGCTAGAAAATTGGCGGTGATAGATACTGTCTCTATTCTCAATACGAAATCAATTCTACAGAACGAATCTTCCCGTACATAAACAATTATTTCGTCATTCGTTTATGATTGTAACTATCTGTGTAATGGTGTGATATTTCGTCATTCAAACAATATAGTCTTGACTTCTGACATATATTAATTATTATGCCAGGTCGACATGAACATTAACGCTAGTACCATATGTCGTTAATTGCGAAATTAAAATTCATACAAGTCTTGGCATTTGGCTGCGGCCAAAGGATTTTTTGCCATTTGGCCGGCCAAAATTGGCCAACACTGCGACAATGCTAATCTATAATGGTATAATATATGATTACGTAAACTAGTAACTGGATTTTCTGTTAAAATCTATTTAATAGTTTCACGTCAACAATCAACACTACCACAATAACTGAAGCTTTAATCGAATGTCATGATAATATGCGAATCGTGAATTATCAGTTGAATGCGAGATCTCGGCGTCTTGAGAGGGGGTAATTGTTTGTGAGAAAAATTGGCGATAGTTATATTATGCATTCACGCATTACACATACCTGCATTGTTTTGAATTTCTGACTAATACCTCCAATAATTAGGATTATGAAAAGTCACAATTCGGATTTTCGTTAGTTTCTTTTTTCGGTTTAGGAGGTGCAATCGTGTGCACACGATAGTGGAATTTACCTTGACTAAATAATGAAGAGAAGACAATTTACGTTTATTTTGCATTAATCCCCGAGAGTTCTGGCTCGGGGAAATACAAATACAGACATTAATATATACAATGATTACGTTAGACGATTGTGTATTGAATTTCAAATCCAAGTCGAGACAAGGATTTATATGCAAGAGCATAATACAGAGGAGTCTCTCTAGGTGCACCCCCCTTTGGGACCATATTAAAAAAGGACAGAATGTGCATTTAGAGAGGATGTGTATTTGTAGAGTAAATATTTGGAGCTTGGGACTGAGCCATAGCGTGCATTTAGAGAGGGTGTATAGTAGCAGGTGCACTTAGGGAGGTTTCTCTGTAATTGAAAAGGAAAATGACGTGACGACTATTTGTATGTTTATTATCTGCATTCTCTTTACACCATAAAAAATTCTAAACTTCTAACCGTGGACATCTGAAAAACTATGTATTTTCTCTGATCGTGAATTTTTATGGCGGATTTAAATTCATATTGATATTTGTGTATTAGTGTGTGTTTGTTTGTTTTACGTGGTATCGGGGGGATATAGAAAATTACGGAATTGTAATTTAGTATTTCATTCTCTTTAGACATTCATGTTAATACTGTGTTACGAAAAATGGTGAATTCGTTTAAACACGTGTCTTGTGCGCATAGTGTAATAGTGTATTTTGCATGCGTTATTTCTTTTGCCAATAATAGTTTTTTCAATTACTTAATATCTATAACATCTATTCGTTATTTTGTTTAACATTAACTATTCAAATTACATTTTCTCATTTCACTATCTATTATCATCCAGGCCCTGTATTACCCGCCACCTGCACACGCACAGAAAGTTACCCACCCACAAAATCCCATTAGCAAAATTTACTTGTTTGTGTTTATGTTGACGCGATTTCTAAATGAATGATCAACGAGAATATCGATTGCGCAAGAAATACAGTTGCCAAATATCGGCGTCTGTGTGATTTTTTTATGGAAATTTTAATCGGCCTTCAAGATAAGTGCTATTGTTTCAACTTTCACACGACATTTTTTGGAATACCAATTTCAGTCCTTCGATTCCTGGTTCTTGATTTTAACGATTTTTTGGCGTTATTTTTTTGCGTCTTTTGCGTCTGTGGACGATTGTTTGTGTGTCGTGTATCATGTCGTAATTGTAGTGTGTCTATCTATCATCGCAAGAAATCAATATTTTTCCAAGTCGGGAGATTTTATATTCTATTACATGTACTAGATACATAACAACAACATTTAGTCATAAAAAAACGCCCATTTGTCTGGATTATTATTTGTTTGATTCGCATTCTGTAATGTACGTGTACTTTGCATGTATTCACACGGCATTTATGTATATGTGTGTAGACTAAATAGTAGAGGTAAGCGCACTGACGTTATCTACCATTTTCCTTTTTAAAGCCAGGCAGTGTGGTTCACTGGAAATTTTGCTAGACAAGGAGCTGGTCTTTACAAAGAAGATATACTAAATTTCGCGCTGAGCACTTTTACTTAGAGGGTGGGGGCTAGTTGTCATAGTTCAACTTCGAGATATTTGCAATTTTTCACTTTTTTCTTTTTTTGTATGTTACACATGATCCTGCAGTTAGATTGGTCAATCACGCACGTGGCTACCTGGCTTTCTTTTACGACAATAACGGATTAAATGATTGTAGTTTTCACTATCTGATAATCCAGTTCGTGATTTTTTTATTCACGATCACGCAAAGAAGAGACGCGCGTCATCTAATTCGGACCCACAATCAGAAGAATTCAAAATAGATATGAATATATTTTTATAATTAGCACATACATTGGAATCGAGTCTTTACAAAATTTATATATCGATGTTTTTCAAGACGGAACTTATTATAAAGGATCTCTGGGAAAGAAACCTTACGTTAACGTCAATCAAAATAGCTATCTTAAATTTCCGAGTATCTGAAAACATGATCAACAAAGAGATTGAACATCTCGAATCAAAGAGAAATAATGAAAGCATATTTTTTAACTTTATTATTGGTTATTTATATATTCGATCAGAAGAAAAAAACTATAAGTTATTATTATTAAAAGAAGTCAGCCAGCCAGCCACGGCTACTATATACAAAGATATGTTTGAATTACATCAGTTTGATGAGTAAAAATAACTTTTTTGGTGTGCGGTGTATATGTACAGGACTTTTAAAGTGCATGATTTAAGAATAGAAAAAGATAGTGATCATAAAAAAATGTATGTATAAACTATATTTACGAGAGATAAAAGAATTTTATAGATCATAATAATATTAATATCAAGGGGAATTTTACTAGTAATTCATTTTAGCTGGGGGAAGTAAATGTACATAATATTAATGGATATTATAAATGATAAAAATAAAAATAAAAATCAAGTCTGATTAAAAAAAGTGGTGGCGGCGGCTGAGTGATACGTATAATGCGAGAATAATTTAAATTCTTGATTTTGTTATTATCTATATTATTAAGCAAAATTTAGATCGGTGATACTAATCATAATACTTGTAATTAAAATAAGTGCTCTATTTGAAAGTGCTTTATTTTTTTGGCGCTTAATAAAAATGGAGGTTTTTTTTTGGCTTTTATTTTTAGTGTCTTTGAATGAATGGTTGATTTTGATTTGATTTGATTTGTTTTGTTTTGTTTGGTTACAGCATAATAATAAAATACTAAATTTTTTAGTATTCAAGTTATTTTATATCGAACCTAACACAACTATTAATTACGATAGTAGCGATTGAACATCAGTCGGCTTCGGTAGTCGATGTTGGTGGTGCTGTTGATATTGCTGTTGATATTGATTATGTTGTTGCTGCTGCTGTTTATAATGATGACTTGATTGTACTTGCTGTTGTTCAAAAGACATTGAAGAAGATCGTGAAGATCGAGACTGCGGTGAATAGTATTCTTTTGCATCTGATTCGCCTGATGACGACGGTGGAGTAAGATAATCGTGAACAGATACCTGCGACCGAAGATGATGAATCTATTTGTTATAATGTTATCAAATTATTAATACTATTATCCTGACCAATCAAATCCAAGTGATTGTCAAATCGAATCACGCGTCAAAATTTAAAGAAAAAACTAACCTCATCTTCCAATTCACGAATTTTCGATTTCGCATTATGTTTCTCGGAATTTGCTTCCTCCAGTCTTCGTTCCAATTCACTTATTCGTTTCGCGGTATCCAGACTCTCCAATTCTTGAACACGCCTTTCAAGGAACTGACATTTCTCTTGCATGTCACGCTCACGCTGCTTTCGTCGATCACGAAAGCGAGCTGAAGCACCTGCATTACGTCGTCTTTTCTCGGCTAAAAGTTCGGAGGCCGGATCAATTTGCATTGAATGACACGACGTAAATGATGATGGGGATAATGGTGATGAAGAAGAGGATGATGATGAATGATAAGGATGATGATGATGATGATGATGATGTTGTGAGGACGAAGAGGACGAAGATGAAGAATGATGGAGATTAGGTCTTCCGCCATTTACATTTGTGCTACTATTGTTACTAAGGTTAATGGTATTAATACTACTACAACTAATACCATTGGTTGCTATTGTATTAGTTGTAGTAGTATTAATACCATTATTATCGTGATGACGTCGATGAAAATGTTGAGAATGATACGCTAGGTTTGGAGAAAGTGACCCATTTGACGATGTAACAGATGTATATGATTGACGTCGTTGTTGATCATATGATGACGTTGTCGTGTCTTGAGGGTAATGGAAATAATTATTGGATGTAGGGGAAGTTGTTAGTTGTTGATAGCCAGGAGGTGGTGGAGGAGGTGAAGTGAATTCGGGGCTTGAGAAACCACTTGGTGTGTGAATTGGTGATAAAATCGGAATTGATTGAGGTGCGATGCATGAGACTGGTGGGAGAACAGGTGGTGTTTGGTTTGTTGTATTATTGTTGAAGTTGCTATTTTGATTATTATGATTCTTATTATTATTGCTGCCACTACTATTACTGCTGGAACTATTTGAGCGCGAAACATTCCTCGCGACTGTTTCAAAATGTGTAATAGGTGGAAGTCGTTCAGCTGTTGCTGTTGAATATCTAGACATTATTTCGCGTCGTCGTTACTAATTGTACGTGATGTGACGTGACTACTTTCTTGTTCCAAAGAAATATTGCGATTGTTATGGGTATAGTTATAGACAATGAGAAGAGTTTTATACGTGTCTCAAAAAAAACCCCCACGTAGAAAACAATAAATACAATAGTATAAACGTATAAAAAAATCTTCGAGCCCACGCGCGAGAAAAGGAAGGGAATAAAGAGACAAATAGATAGATACGCGTAAGTGCGCGGATTTTTCGTTACGTTACGTTACGTTAAAGTGAATTTAAAAAGAGTAGTTTTATGTATGAATAGAATCAAGTTTTGTTAAATCTCAAAAGTCTTTATTAATAAGAAAGTTGAACATAAATGTGAGCTTTAAAAAAAAAATGAACAAAAAGTTTTAAAAAATAAAGTCGTCTCGGTAGTCGTCTTTCGTCACATTCAATAGAACCAAGAGAAGATAGAAAACAAGGACGTCCAATTCTCCAAGACGGGCTGCTTATATCTAAAAATTTTTGTGTCATCATCATCGTTCATCGTTCATCATCAGTAGCTAGAATCGTCATCAACATCTCTTCGTTATTGTAGTCGTTGTCGTCGCGTGAGCCAGGTCGGATATTTGATGTAATATAAAAGGATATATAGGAATAACTTTTTAGAGTACTAAAATAAGGCCTGTTATTTAAACTTAAATAAATAAATGAAATAAAATAAAATATAGTATAATAAATAAATGGTTAAACAAATATTAATAAATAAAATAATAAATAAATATAAAGTCCATCGATTGTTTAGTAATAAGACGTTGCCTGTTACCGCTGAACAAGAATGATGCCATGATTTGTTTTTCTGCAGGTTCTCTTTAAAAAAGAGGTTGTTTTTTATTTCTGGTTGTCGATTTTTATGCATTAATATGGAGTCATTATCATACAGTAGATTACAGCGAGAAATAGTAAAAGGAAAATGGAGAAAGAACAGACGGTACATGAAAAAAAAGTCGTTGATAAAAGGTGTAGTGAATCTAATCTCAATCCAATCAAATTAAAATACAGATATTATCCATTTTATCACAGGAGAAAAATTGTCCACTTTTTTGGTGGTGAATGTTGATGTTACGAATAACGTATACACATACGAAATTCTAAATTTCGATTGTTTAGTAGATTAGTGGGATAACAAAAATTTTTCTGTGCTATTATTTTATACGTGAAAATACTGTATATTACTATAATGCAAATATGCTTAATATTACGTATTAATCGCTCAACGAAACATGTACGTGTGTATGTATGCCACTCACTTTTAAATAAACAAATAGCATTCACACTATCGAGTATGGCTAGTTAGTAATGTATGGTTACAAAAGCGTTATTTGGTATGGATAAACGATAAGGGTTACGCTATTGGCTCAGGATATAGAGTATAGTAAAAAAATCGGGCTAATATCATTATTCGAGTCTATCGCAATTCTTGCCATATAATATTTACACAATACTATTATTATACATACACACGTTTCCCATATCTTGAAAAATGGACGATTTTATCTTTTCCCCATAAAACAAAGAATGCGCAATTTTTCCGACAAGGAACCAAATGTAATTTCTATTTTCGACTATGAATTTCGATTATTAAAGAATGCTGTGGTGCAAAAACGGGTGCAGGTAAAAAAAAACCCAGAAATAAAAAACATGATTCTTCTTCGAAAATGGGAAAAAATTCGTGGGATTTTTCTGCGCATCAATCAATATGTTTTCCGCTTTAAGGAGTTAAGTTTTTTTTTTTTTTTTGCATGTTTGAGTATATGGTTGCGAAACTGTTATATATGGGTGAATTTTCTGTTTTGGATTTTCTTAGATAGTGTCATGTTGTATACGTGTTAGGGTCTAGGACTCTAAAAGTGGGCGTTTTTGACAATGACACGGGATATTGTATGGTGTTTTTGAATGGATGGTCAGATGCTGACTTTCTGAGACTCGAAAAGTAACACTGCATTTTCTCTTTTTCCTGATCCCATAAAAAAGTTTTCGATAACGCCGAACCCAACATGAATATATTACGTGCATATTCGCATATTTTAAAACTAGGAATTCGTATATTGTATGCGGGTTCCCTTGAATTAAGGTTATTTCCCGGCCTTGGATAGACGTGTATTACGTGAAAACAAGAGATGAAAACTTTTTTTTTTGTTTTTGCTTACTCCCTGAATATTTTGATTTTGACAGCGAACTGATCAACTTCGTTTTTTTTGATCGACCGCACGAAACAATTTCTTATTTTACGAGCAAAACCACTTGGGGTTTGTAATTAAGTTTTTTGTCTTTAACGGAATTACAGTCATTAGGTAGTAGGGAACGTTGTTTTGTTTTTTGTAATCTGTATGTAAAGAAGAGTTTGCCACCAAAAAAAGTATAAACATGTAGTTAAACCCTTGTCTTTTTAGCATAACAGTAAATAAAATTCAAATTTGCATCTATAGAATGTTAAAACACATCATGATTCTCCTTCGTTTGACAAAACCAACAAACAGGAAAAGTCACAATAAGATAAACTATAGATCTGTAACGAAATAATGATCATCAAACCACAAGGAAATTGGGCAAAAAAACAATTCCATACCCTATTGTACTGCTGGATATTGTTGAATAATGAAACAGAAAAAAAACGCCGAATTCTCGATGTCTGTAGCGGTTGGGAATTTGAAAAATTGCCCATCTGAAGAAATAAGCCTTTTGCGCGATTTGCGGAAAACCGCCTAACTAGAATGGCAAAAAATACGTGCAAGTTGCATCACTGTTTTTTTCCTTGTTTTTGTTTGTGCTAATTAATGAGTATTTGTGTTCTCTGCAAAAAAAAACATCATAAGTAATGATAATGGTCAGTAATGCACCCGCGCATTTTGCATGAATCTAAAAATATCAACGAAATGCCCAATAATAGTTGACAATCAATCCAATCACCCATTATTATCCATCAATACATTAACTGCTTTAATAACTCCGAATAGATAATGCTTCTTTTCACGTGTTGTCATACTTTCCTTTCTTCTATAAACACAATAAACAACACAGACACATACATAGACACAGACACGAGTGGAAAATAAAGTTGCATTGCTGCAAATATTTATTTGATTATCATTCTTTCTAGTCGTTTCCTTGCTTGCTTGCTCGCTCGTTATTTCAATGTAAAATATTTGTAAAAGAGACAAACAAAAATATTTATCGTTATATTTATAATCAAGAGCAAATATAGGGAAATATAAGTGAATTTACCTAGCTTAAAATCAGTCGTTTAACTCCATCATAACAATAAACGGCGCGTGTCTCTTACACGCGTTCCTTGAACACCCATGATTAATGCGTCATTATAGCATAATATATATAATACCTAGTACTATTATCTATTAGATTGGATCATCCGAAGAGTGGGACGGTGTTTTAATTAAATGAATAAGTTTGTGTTAATTGTGAGAGAAATAGAACCAAAACGCGTGTTCCTAAAGATTGCGCAATTAGTGAAAAATTTATAATCAAATATAACGGGTTTGGTTTTTGATTGCATATCTCATTCTCACATTGTATTTCATTAATTCATTGTGTTTCATTAATCCATTGTATTCCATTAATTGATTGTTTTTTTCGAAGAATGAAAGAAAAAAATAAAACTATAAAAATTAAGTTTTTGGGAAGAGATTTATTTTGGTTCAATTTAGAAACTACAATAATATTAAATCCAAGCAAAACATTATATACACTGTTTTGATGAGTACAGTAATATTAAATTACGTAAAAGCATACATTATAAATAAATACACTGTATATATATCGTATATGAATTAAGTGAATAAAGTTACTGTTGGTAAAACAATGGGTTTGTTATATGCTATTAGTTTTTTCCCACCAAAACACGTGGTATTCTTGATTTATTATTATGTCTATATATTAGTATTATCAGTTAACGAATTGAATTCGTGCCAGTTTTATAGATCAATTCCGTTTTTAAATGCTATATAGTTTTAATTCGGATTCGAACTATTATTTTATTGAATTAAATCAAGTCGGATCGAATTAAGTCTCACAATTTTTGGTTATTATTGTTATAAATAAAAAATAACGATGACAAGTATTATTATGATTGGCAAGCAAAATTATGTGTGTAGTGTTTTACTTGGAAATTTAGAGTTTATTACCCTAAAAGAATATACGATAAACAATAAACAAACTATTCACATTCTAACATCAGTGAAAAAATAACCACTTACCAAATATATATGATAACAGAATTGTGGCCAAACGACAACAATTATGCTATTAGATTGTGATATCAATATGTGTACACTTATCGGCTTTAAACTACAATAAAATAATAACCTGAGTTTTACGATTTTTCTGGTCGTGTAAAAAAAATGCGATAATGAATTTTTGGAATTTGTGATCTTCGAAATCATCATAATTTCGTAATTTTTTATTTATTTATTTATTTATTTACATATTTCCATAACAAATATAATAAATCTCCCCACAATTAGAAAGTACATCATCAGATACCCATAAAAAAACGGGGAATTTATTGTAGCGCATTTATGTCTAATTAAGGTTTTCTTGAAGAAAATGTACGATAAACAACGAGTAAATAAATAAATAGTTGCCACTTGATAATAACGATAATGATCATTGCTGTTAAAACGTACTTATTATTTTAATAATTGTCACACCTGTACATTTTCAAGTAATGCCCATTTTAAGAAATATCCATGGTTTTCATAATCATTCGATATCAATAACACCATCTTATTTAAGGTGGTGTAAATTAATAAGCGAAGTTTAAACTTATTCGGTATATCGTGAAACATGATATGTGGAGAATTGGTTCAAATACGCTATATATTCAAATTTCAAATTGCACCAAGCATACAAAAGATACCAAACTTGTCTCGACTTGACCACTTTATCAAAATGAAGACATTTATCGTTTGCTTCGGTATTTGCTTATCACATAATCGCATCAAATCGCCTAACGTGATCATTATATATGGTAACGATAGCACGTGTCATTGTATTTCCCGAGTCAACCGACAATAAGCGTAAATTGTCTCCTCTTATTATTTAATCAATTATATAAATGCCAGCGCCGTGCACAGTCCCCAGCGAAAGTAATAGCGATACAACTTTTAGTCTCCTCCTGAAGTGAAAAAATACATGATATTTTTTACATTGCTAATTTGTGGTGTTTTAAGGTCATAATACATATTCTAATCTGGATGATTTTACTATGTCAACGAACTTTCATCTATTAAAAAAGATTACTAGTTTTAGCATTTCAACCTGTATTCAAACCTGACTTGACATAGAAGGAAAATACATAATATCTTAATGTTCGGAAGCATTTCAGGTGTAAAATTTTTTATTAAAAAACTCATCTTCCTCCTAACCAAAATGAAACTAATGGAAAATCTAATTCTTTTTTCATTGTATATTTTTTGACAACAATCAGGTAGGTCTCGTAACATCTTTGCTATTTTGAGAACATGGAAGTATTAGTCAGAAATTCGTAATGCATGTATGCATTACGAGTCTTCCCAAATCGTTATTTTTATGAGGGAGCCAAAAAAGGAAAGCTAATGGAGGATTATAAAGATAATAATAATTCGTTCTTTTAGAAATTCCTAAAAATTAAAATAGCGTAAATCTTTCTTTTTCCATTTATCAAAATGCATATTATTTTATCGCCAATTTTTTCCTTACAAACAGTAATCGAACTCTGTTCTCTCACCGAGATCTCGCATTCAACTAAAAATTCACGATTCGCGTCTCATCGGACAAAAAAAAGCATGTATTATCGTGACACCCGATTAAATTTCTTTAATTTTGGTTGTTATGATAGTTGAGAAAAAAAATAAAAATCCAGTTACTAATTTATGCAATCAAATATTCTAGATAGTATTCTCATTACGCCAAATGCTATCACTATATTGGCAATGTGAAGTTAATGGTAATGGTAATGTCTCTTCATGTGAGTATGATCATCAATCGTTAAATGGAAATACAATTTTGTAATTAACGATAGTTGGAAATTAGCATATGTCAGGAAGTCTGATGATAATTGCTTGTTTTGTTAATTAAACGTAACGGTAAAGGTTTAAACAATGATAATATCTTTGTCTTACACAAAAGACAGTTTCATCATATATAAACGAAAATGACGAACTAGAATTTATCATTATGCTACGATGGGTTATTTGCATGTTCCCTTACAAGTGTACACTGTGGAAACACATAAAACCTCCTTGAACTTCACATTTTCGTTTTTTGTATCTTTGATTATTGCTATAAAGCAAATATCGATATGAGGTGAAATACAATTATAATCAGATCAAAAATCATTGCACTCGTCCGTATCTTCTCACAAAATAGTGAAATTTTCATTAGTAAACCAAGAATCTCGTGTTATTTAATAGAGATAAAAAATTACCTTAAAGAAAAAAAGACCTTTTGTTTTAAAATTACCTCTATATAGCGAAGTTTCGATATAACGAAAAAAATTTCCAGCTCAAGAGGTTCGTTATATCGAGGTTTGACTGTATTGTTTGATTTCATAACGTCCAACCAATGAGCCCCTCAAACTATTGGTTAGACATAATAAATTGGTTGAATTTCGTCAAATAAACAGAAAGAATAAAAATATGCATTGACCATAAATTTGTCGTTATCAGTACTTCGTGCAAAAAATCATTAGTTAGATTCATGTACAATTTATCTTTATCAAACAGATTTTAGTCTTTTAATTATACAAAGTAAAACTTTTGAACTGTAAGGAACATGCATTTTAGCATATATACGTCATTTATATAAGCTTGCAAGTTTTTGGTCAGCATGGCAAAACAAATCCGATTCAAGAAAACAGATGTCTAAATTTAACTTGGAGCATTACTAAAAATGTCGGTGAGGCAATTTTACATATTCAAGATCTAATCCCTAACCTAACCCTAAAATCAACCTCCGAGACATGCCATAGTTGGGACTTAGTAGGGACGGGACAGATACATAGTGGGACAATTTCAAAATGCTTGGGGTATAAAAAATGCTCAATACTGCGCTGAGACAGTTAGGTCAATCGAAATCAGGGGCCCGAAAATTTTTCGAAATTTGATTTCGGTCGGAATTTACCGATTTGGACAAATCGAAAAAAATTTCTGGGTCCCTAGTCGAAATACCACAACGATAGTGTGATCGTGAGATAAACAAATGATACTGAGTTTTATATATTATAGATCCTCCTAAATTTGAACGATCTTTCCAAGAATAAAAAATTCATAATTACATCTTTTTCTATTATTTGATAGATTAGGTCTTTATTTTCAAAGTGATTCCTTGTGGTTTTTTGTAAGTGGGTTTTACTATGCTCAAAGGATTTTTGGTCACCTAAATCCAATATCGGCATATCTTGCATATAAAAACATGTGATTTATTATTTTTTAACTGGTTTAATCAATAAAATTAAATTCTGATCTATATTTAGTATATCGATATCATTTTTGGTAAAACTACAGACTGAAATTGTTATGGTTTTTAATTAATTCTTAAATGATGGTTGCAAAAGTATTTGTTATCATTGATTTTAATCATATAATATTTTACATATCCTAGATCTCTTTACATTCTAATAGCAAATCACGTGTTATTTCAATTGGAACTAGGATAAGATTGCTCTAATTAAAATGTAGACACTTGCCATTTATTTCTTTGCGATTAAATCCTGAATTTTCAATATCTAAAAACTGGTTAATAATAAGAATTAAACCGGATCCAAACTCTCAAACAAGCTTGTTAACAAGCTTATTGGTAAGTATGCCAAAAAAAGTTGAAGGATGGCCCACTAAATATTAAAATTTTCAAATATCAATTATATTTAATAAATGGACAAATACTTTTGCAAGATGACTATGTAAAAATTCATATCTGAGTACGTATTCACTTTTCAAGTATTTCGAGTATTATATTTTGAAAAATTGTGCAGCGATTTGATGTCGATCTATAACTCTACGGCAATTTTTATTTCGTGTACTTTATTTTCTCCATTCCTTTTGCAAGAAATTCAACATTAGTGAATCTTTCAAAAGGTTAATTTTCATACATTCTTTTATTAAACTGTTAGTATGTATTTTCGATAGACCATTCATTCAATTCGTTTGTGATAATCCAGCCGTCCTTATTTCTTGACAATCATTATTTCCACAAAGCAAAATTTGATATATCGAAATATTACTTTGTGGATGTAGATTGTTTTCCTATGTATTGATGACGTAGTAGATTCTACCCACTAGCGCTATATACTAATTCTAAATTTGGGAAGAGACATCGATAACGATAATCAGAAACCAATCGGGAAATTACATTCCTAATCACGATCTTTACTTTTCACCATGAACAACTATCTATTACCGGTTACTCTAGTATAATGGTGACAGTTGATAGATTGACTTGCAAAAAGCTTACTAGTATCATTGCCAAAGAGTTGCGAATAGACGTTGCGTTTCCCTGTTTTTCGGTAGAGGAACAAACGGGGGCCACTGCTTGTTGTGTGGTAATTTTATTTATCGTGATGCGAAAAAGTCAATTTTAAAATTTTCTCGGTTGGAGCAACAACTACAACATATTTTTGATACTGTTCAGGTCCATAAACATTGGATTTCTACTCTTAAACAAGCTCGTTTAGGAGATAAAATACGTCTGAATAAGTACTCAACTACTACACGTCCAGAAAATAATAATTCTGAACAGTTAAGCGAGGATAGACAAGCACCTACTACAAATATTTTGGTGAGCGTTCTTTTGAAGCGTATATCACGTGATAACAAAAGGAGGTATGTCAAATTCCATTACTTAAAACTTATAAGAAAATAATGTAATATTAATGTACGCATGTTTTTATTATTAGGCCACAATTGTACAAAAAAGAATCATCACCAACAAATGGAATTGAACAAAAAATACTGGCAGATTCAATAAAAAGTAATAACTGTGATGAAAATGAACTACCGCTCCGGACTTTTATTAAAGAGCAGTTAGAAGAGAATCCCGGGCCAAATTTTATTGAGCTAGTGTCAAAGTATGAAAAATATTCGCCGGTACTTTTAGATAATTATATACCGAGTTCAGGTGAAGGTGATAACGGTGATGAAAGCAGTGAACTCATTAGACAAAAGGTGGGAGTAAATAATTACCATGATCTAAAAGATTGTACATATTGTAATAACAAATGTCACTATTATGACTTTATGAGATTAATTGATGATGCATCTAACACATTACTTATGTTCCATCTCAAAAAAATCCAACACCAAAAAAAAAAATAGTTATTTGTTGATAAATTTCTCGAAACCTTATATCCACATTGTGCCTATTTCCGTATATTATCATCAACATCATCATCTAGTACTTCAGATAATAATGTCAATAACAACAATGACAATCTTTGTCTCGAGTTAATAACAGAATCTAATCACAATAACAATAATAACGAAATACTTTCCACGAATCCTAATTTAATTGATATCTTTGCTGTTTTGGAATCGGAACGCGCTTATTATTTTATGGCGCCGTATCGAGGCACCACGTTACAAGATTTATTGAATTTTAGTTCGGGTGTTTTGAAATCAAATGTTAAAAAATCGTTTGTCGTATATCAGTTGCTAAGAGGTGTACAAGAACTTCACGAACAAGGCCTCGTTCATGGAAAGTACGTCCTGCCAATTATGTATATTATATATATTATTATTAGAAGACTGGAATTTCTACTTTAACAAACATCATTATTTTTGAACATTAGTCTAAAGCTCTCGAATATTTTTGTGGACGAAAATCTATGGATAAATCTAACTGGATTCGAATGTTGTGCTCCTGAACCCGATAAATCTTCATCTTTAGGTAAAAAGTTTGATTTTTCGTACGATTTGATAATGCACGAAATTTATTCTACTAAGCATTCAAAAAGAAATGGGATTATAATGTAATTTTTTAGAACAATCGAATACGGAAAGTGATACGATCAATGATAAGATGCCACGAGGTTTATACATTTTCAAATCACACATTTGACAATCTTATTTACTTTCATCTTAATTAAATATTGATTTCTTTGGTTATGTATAATTCGAATTATTAGAGATCAAAGAAGAATCTCTCACTGTGAAATGGGTACGAGGAGAAATCTCTAATTTCGCGTATCTTATGTTCTTGAATCACTTAGCAGGCAGGTACAAATACTAAAAGTTCATTTTAGAATTCCAGTTATTCTCTGATTGTATATCGTCGTCATCTTGGTTATTTTTCTTTCTTAATATCATCTAATTTTTTTCGTTATTTTTTGAAAGGTCGTCGTATTGGCGATCCTAATTTTCATCCTATATTTCCATGGATTACTGATTTTACTGGATCGACTCCGTCGCAGAACTGGCGCGATTTTACAAAAACTAAATTCAGATTGAACAAAGGTCTCTTTTTATGTTGCTTGTTTTATATATTCAAACTTGATGAAATATTGAGCATTGTATCCAAAAAATATAGGCGATGAACAATTGGACTTCACCTTTGACGGACCAGTCCCACATCATATAACCGATATCTTATCTGATATAACTTATTATGTTTATCTAGCACGTAAAACTCCGATTCCTGTACGTATGACGACGTTGTTAAATAATTTTTTTTAAGATAATATCAAAAATAAGAATTTACTTTAAACGTAGGTCCTATGTCAATATGTTCGAACAAAATATGAACCCAATGAGTATCCTTCTTCGTTACAAAGATTATTCGAATGGACACCTGATGAATGTATTCCGGAATTTTATACAGGTATTCTTTGAGTATAATTAATTTTAAGAAATACTCAGTTAAGTTATTAACTGGTGTTTATATTTAGATGATAGCATATTCACGTCAATGCATCCAGACATGCCTGATCTTCAATTGCCAGCGTAGGTTCTCGATTTAAGGTTATATTACACATGAGATAAAATCATATGTTTTGACAATAATTATCGATTAATTAACTTCAGGTGGGCACCCACTCCACAAGAATTCATTCGTATACATTCTGCTGCATTAGAAAGCGACTATGTGTCAAGTCAGCTTCATCATTGGATTGATCTAACATTCGGATGTAAATTAAGTGGTATGTAGAGTAATATTGATATCATAATTTATTTACTCGAAACTTGTCCTGATGTTTTACCCCCGAAAATAATTACAAAGGTTTGGACGCCGTTGAAGCGAAAAATGTCGCGTTGCCGCTTTTAGATGGCCAAGATTCTTTTATGAAACATGGAATCACCCAATTATTTAGTGATCTACATCCTCAGCGTTCTATTAATTGGAATCAGTCACAGAGGTATTAAATTGACAAAACATATAACTTGTTACTGTATTTTTAAAAGAATGTTTTCTGACACCTTTGTTACCCTATCAGGGAATTTGATTCGCACAAATCAGTAACGACATCAGTACTTGATAAGTACAACAAGTTAAATTCGAAAAGACGGATAGCTTTAACCGAAAAATCCAGAGCACCCCAAATACCCGAAAAAATATCAGACCCACTAACTTTTGATATTCCAGCCGCCGAGAAAATACTAGCGAAACCACCAGGAACTCATCCACGATCAAAGAAGCAAACGCCTCCAGTGAGACCTTTGTCTCTCTATGATCTCGGTAATTCGAATTACATCAGAGAAAGAGAACTATCCACAGCGAGCATGACTGATTCAAAGGATCCTCTGGCGAGAATCGAATCATTGGCTTTGCTTTTGAATTTGATTCCGATACAATTACCTGATGAGATGAACGACGGAATTTTTATTGAACAGTTATTGAATTACGAACAAGCTCATTTATTTGCTGTTAAATACCAACACCGGATTTCTCTTCAAAATCAATCTTTTCCTAATGACTCTACGAACAATAATAGTAAAGTAACTGAAACGACAATACAAAGCACACAATCGTTTGCATATGGAAGAGCATGGGATGCGTACTGTCTGGGAAAAATTATTGAAAAGATATATGCAGAAAACAAAAAATCGGCTCTTCATGAGCTTGCTTTTTCACATTTATCTAATATTGATTCCGAGATCAAGAAGGACTATGAGGTTTCTCAATCCCATGTAATTGATTTTTTATATTTTTGTTCAGAGCACAAATTGATTTTTTTATCCAACGTTCTTATTATATCATTATGCAACAGGTCCCTTTAGCTATCAAAGGAGTCATTGATAGTTTATCATCTCCTGATTGGACAAAACGTCCCACAATTGAAGCCATTCTTTATACTTCAACTCCTGTTACAACTCTACGCGATCACAATACAACTTTACCTATACCCTCATATATTCCTGAAGTGTATAATTTTCTAACTGGATTCCACGCTGTGTACGTATAATATAATAGGAGATTTATCTATGCGCCTTATGTAAAATAAACAAATAAATAATAATATTATTATATGGATTTTTTATGTTCAGAAATTGGAAAGATCGATTAAAATTAGTGGACGAATCATTGGATAAATTATGTAATCTGAATGATGAGGTAGGTTGAGCTATAATCTTTGATTCGTAATGTTATAAATATTCTAAAAAATGTACATTAATTTATAATCGATTAAAAAGGCTTTCAACATGATATTACCAAGTTTGGTGCATTTATTTTCACATGAACCTATAAGGATTCAAGCACTGAGGCTTTTCCCAAAGCTCGGCCATCGCTTGGGTGAAGAAGAAACAAAGAATCATTTACTTAAACCCATCGTTTCTCTTTTTGAAGTAAGCTTTACGAAATCAAAACTTAACGGATCATAATATCCACAACATTATTAATTTGATTGCTGACTTTCATTTCAGTCATCACACCCTTCCATTCCAAAGATCTTGTTTGAATCCTACATCATCGAACAATTTCTACGTTGTTTTGGCATCACTAATTTCCTACAACAGCTTTTCCCGCTTTACTTGGAAGCACTCACGATCGACGAACGGATTCACGCCACGATCTCTCCACAAGAAGAGGAAGGAGTTGGAAAATATTTTCCGAACTACACATCTAGTCCGGTATCACTAAAGAGCTCTTTTGATTTCAACAATAGAATTATTCCGTCAGTAACACAGCTGGCGAATTCGGCTTTTGTGGATATCTGGTATGTATTTTGATTTTTGAAAATTCTCGTCGGGAAGGAAATTTTTTTGAGTATTAATTCTATACATTTAGTTTTTTGATAGGGCCTATTCTCACCTCGAAATATGTCATGAAACAAATCTATAAATTATTATTGAAAGAATATTCGTCGTTACATTTGTTGATTCAGTCTCTCTCCACAATAGGTGCATAATTTATTATGATAATGATTAACAATATTTTTCTTGGGATTTTTTTCATCACTAAACCTATTTTTTTTAGGGAGTCAATTTGGAGAAACTTTTACATATCTACAATACGCCCAAGCTATATCAGTGATCCAGGCGAACAGTACGCCATCAAATTCCAAAAACACCATAATCATAAGTAATCAGCTTGCTCTATTAGAAAAGGTTTGTGGTTTTTTTCTGTGATTAATTTAACTAAAAAATAATTACTAATCCAAAATTTATTATTTTTCCTTGAAAGCTTACCCCACAATTATCGAGTAGTAAGATATTCACGGAATTCGAATCAGGTTTCGCAGATGCACTCAATAAAATATTGGGGTGGAATGAAACAAGTGCTGCAAAAAGTCCTGCTGTCACCACGCAAAATATAAAAAATAAATTATCGATGCACTTGAAAACAATGAATTACTTGTTGCACGTTACTAATAATGTCAGCAAAGATGATTGGGAACGTTATGTAAGTGAAAATTTATTTTCTTAATATTCAATCCAAAATGTTTGCTAAATTTTAAACGTTGATTTTTTTTGGAAGATCGCTCCAATATTACAAAAATACTTTGCATCATTTGGTATGTCACCGGAAAACCCGAGTCATAATACTGAAACAAATGGTATAAGCGCTTTAGAAGAAGAAAGAGACCGTCAGGTAAAAGATTGTTTCTAAGGCTCGCTATTATATAAGAACTAGACTGCAAACTTGAAAGAACAATTCACTATCCATTTTAATTATTATTTAATAGAATGAGAGATACACTCGATTCTTTCTTTGTGATTCGGAATCTTTAGCATTTGTAGTTATTCATTTCAATATATTAACAATTTTTTTTTGTTTTTGAATTTCCAGATGGTCTATGCCTATTCTCAATTTTGTATTATAGTCGGGCAAGAGACGATGAGACGTATTATCCCAATCAGGTTGGTTTTTGTAATAATATTTACTATACACTTTCCATTAAAAAATAATGATAACAATAAACTCACGAATTATATATTGTACACTAGTGATGCCATCGAGAGCGTAATGTACGACCAATTTGCTTCGAATGATACGCTGCCATTAAGGGACGCTTCACCTCTATCTATCGAAATTCAAATTAATGGTCGAAGCCCAGATAACTCTCAGTCACCTACATCTTCCGGTGGAGGGAAAGAACATTTCTCGAATAAGGATGAGTTAAATGGAGACGAAACCACAAAAATATCTTCAAAAAAAAATATCAAAGATTCAAATTCATGGACTTCTGGATCTCATGCACATCGGGCACGTTCGCTTTTTACGAATGAAAATGATCGGAAGTCTCCAGAAAGTACAAATGGCAAACGTACCCAAAAGGGTATGTCTTTTGGCTCTGTTGCTAATTTGTCAACACCCTCGAGTCTAGACAAGTATATATATTTTTGTTTTTCTCTGTTGTTTTGATTATTTTATTATAATGTTACAATTAATAATTTCTTTTTATTTTATTAAGGTCTAGACTGAAACTTTGGCGAAACAACAAAAACTTAGGTCAAGAAGATTTAAAGTAAATGATTACCTTCATTTTATGTGCATTAAAACATTACTTTCATAGTATTCATATAGTTCTGGAATTATAATCTGGAGATAAATATTATTTCCATCAATTTTCATTAATCTCAATTTTTATGTCTTACATAGGAATTGGAATCGATATTTATCGACGAATTCAGGTTTGCATAAATAAAATTTGAATTTTACAACAATAATAATCTTAATAATAAAACTACGATCTCCGCAAATCTTTTTTAGAGGAAATGTCGAATTCGCTGCAATTTACTTTTAACGATCTTAAACTGCGCACTTATCTAGGTATTAAACTTTCAATTTGCTATATATATGCCCATTGATATTTTTTATTGATTCTTACATTTTATCAACAGGACACAACTCTGCCATACGCGGTATCGGAATAAACGAAAATTCACGAATCATCGCCTCCGGATCCCGTGATCGTACCGTCAAAATTTGGTCGCTGGATATTCATCATGGCGTTGAAAATTCAGCAAATGAACCTTACTCGGAATGTTTAATGACCTATAATGGTCACAGAAAGACTGGAGTTGGTGATGTCTATTTTGTTGGAGGTGGCGGTAGTTTAGGTCTTCATGATGTAGTGGCGAGTTGTGATGGTCTTATACACGTGAGTAAACCACTTGCTTGTTGATTATTCAAATTAATATATAAATTGATTATTTTATTTCATTTTGTCTCGTTTTTCATTTAATATTAACATCAGCTATGGGTTCCAGAATCCGGACAAATAATACATCAATTTAGTAACAATCGAACTCTATTTATTTCAATAAGACCAATATTTCGCTCTCGTTATCTTCTCGGCGGACTATCTGATAATACTCTGACGTGAGTATTATTTTTTTTTCAATTTTAAGATGGATAAGCAACACGATATTAGTAATTTTACTTATAATATTTCAGATTCCTTGATACAATAAATCATACTTCCCTTCATACCTGGAAATGCTCCACTGGTTTCACAGGTAAATATAAAAGCGTATATATTACTACTTAATATATTTGACAAACTTGTTTAACTTTGTGATTTTATTAGGCACTATACGTGCTATTTCAGTTAACACATCCGAGACATTGATAGCAGTCGGATTCACAAGTGGCATCATATCACTGGTAGACACTCGGACTGGAATGATGATCGGGAGTTGGAAAGCTGGCGATACTGATATAATACATGTAAGTAATCATCTGGCTTTAATTTTAATTGTTGAAAAATCCTTTTGTAGATTCTCTCTTTATTAATCTATTATTATTTTGGTTGTTTCTATTATAGTTGAAATTTTATTCGAGTAATTATCTAATATCGTGTGCACCCGCTGATCATGTCATATGTATTTGGGACACGGATACCATGTCATTAATTAAAACTATTCGAGGTGAGAAAAGGGTTATTTATTGCTTTTATCAAAGAGAGGTAGATTCTCAAAGTAATGAAAAATGACAAATTGTTCTATTTCAAATATAAGTGAATTCTGATATTGTCGCGCTGAATATGTACAAGGATAATTTGATTACCATAAACAATACTAACACAATCTCTTTTACACCGTTGAATGAAAATGTAAGTAACTTTTGAATATTTTGAATTTATAACTTGTGTTTATTCATCCACTTACACCAAATAATCACGATCAAAAATAGCTCCAAGCATATTCTTCCAAATTTCGAAGTTCCACGATAAAGTCATCAATCACGTCACTTGGTATTTTACCCATAAATCAGCTGCTGGTGTTGGGTTGTGTGGAGGGCGATTTATTTTTGTATGCATAGAATTTAATGATTTTATTATTATTTATATTTAATTTATATTTAATTATAAATAGTTTTGGATTTCCCACTCGAAAAAATATTACTGTCATTACATATATATATATATATGGAAATAATAATATATTTATTACATATTTTCTGTATTAATGTATATACTATAATTTTTAAATATCCCAAATCAGTTGATTATATATATAGCTTTTGGCATTTCTAATAAAAATAAAGCAACTGTATGATCTATTTTTACCGACGGTAGTCGATTAGTAAAATTACTTTTCAAATTTATTAATTTTGGCCAAATCTTATGATTTTTTGAGAGATCTATATACAAAGACCTGTTTTATAATATAACGTTATCTAAATTTAAAGATTATTGCCACTGCCAAAAGCTTCGCCTTTTTGAGAGATTCGTAATTATTTTTTAACATTGGATCCATAACAAGTCGACCCCAAGTACTCTCTAAGCAATGATCTTTATTAATTTTGCGTTCCCATATGGAGAATCTAGAATAAATGATAAGACAATAAATAAGTAATAAAATAAAACAGTTGTTGACGGTCATTATTATCTACTGCACCGCCAAAGTCATCATATCACTATCTTTGATTATCCAAATAGAATTTATTAAAGTTCTCGAAGACTTGTGGTAATGTTTTAAGCTAAGATCTGGAATACGAGTTACCTTGTTGAATACCGAAGAAGAAATCGCATTTCGAAAGTTTTTTGCGGATGAGTGAAATCTACTATAAATGATAATACTGGATGATTATATTCATACGATTTGATCTCATCCCAATTAATAGTTCTAGCAAATGTTCTTCCAACATCTATAAATTCGCCATTATGATTAACTATCCAACTGAGACGAGTGGTTCTGTAATATTTGTACTTTCCAAGTAATTCTTGTTTTTTATATCATCTCCGATTAATTTATTTAGCGCGTTTTTTTATTCGAGGGTTGTACTGTGTTCACGTTTACACCAATTAACAAATGCACGAAGATCTTCAAACGAAGTTGGAAAAACTTTGGTGTATCGCATTCATTTTCTAACTTGTAATATATATAATTTATAAAAAAAGGCAAACTATAAAAAGCTTTAATATCTCATGTATGTGATAAGTTGCAAGCTACAAAAATGTAACTTTAGATATTAAAGCACATAATTGAACGTTGCAAACTGTTCATAAACTCATAAATTGAGAAGATACAAACGACAAAAATTCACGTAATTGAAACGCACATAAATCAAACACGTAACTTTTGCCACATGAAATAAATTGAGATCAGATTTAACTGGCGTCATACTTAAGTATAAATATGCACAGTGAGCACTATTTCTTTAGAAAAACACGAAAAAATGGATATGCCTTCCTTTAAAAAAACCCTTAATGCAGAATTTACATCGATAACTTTTGCAGTGGGTAATTCAATAGATAACACTAATCAAGTGGTTCCAACAATTACTGAAAACGATATCTCCAAAAAACAAAAAAGAGATAACGACTCCGACGACGAATATTCTCGTCGCCGGCATAAACATCAAAAGAAATCAACTAGTTCAAAACAGCGCTCTTCCGCTTCTAAAGAACAAGAAGATTCTAGCTCAGATTCTTCTTTCGCTTCTAAAAAACACAAAAAACAAGAAGATTCAGATTATTCTCGGACAAGTTTATATGTCAA